CATGATCTCTTTTTAAAAATGGGAGAGATTTTCACTTCCCGGCCTCTGCACCAACCAGGGATGCATGCGGCCATTTTAGTACGAGTGCCAAGATAAACATGGTCCTCAGAATTTTTAAATGAGTATCAAGATATTTCTTGATGATAGGTTCCACCACACACCAAGCTTGATCCTCAATAAATGGGGGAAAACCCCTGTGCATCACCTGTCAATTCTAGGAATTGAACTCGGGTCGCTAGGCTGCACAACCGCAAGCCCAACCACTGAGCCAAGGCTCTCTTTGCAAGGCGATGTTTTCCCAAGATGCAAGCATAGTCCTTGCAGTTGCTGATAGGTACTTCCCTCACATATCCATTGTTAATCGGAAGCTAAATTGAATACATAAAATGTTGACAAAGTCTGGAGCACCTTGATTCTGATAATGACCTTTTTACTCGCACAGATTGGACAGCTTAGTGGGTCTGTTTGGAGCTGGATGCCAGCCAAGTTCTTCAAACGATCCATTTGGACTGAGAAGGATCTCTTATGGACTGGTAAGAGAAGTTGAAACTGAAAATATCATTACATGTAAACTATTCTCATAATATATTGTATATAGGTCCAAATATTGGTTGAGAACAAGAAGAACTTTGACCTCACGAAGGCCTTGACCTTGGTGGCAGAGGTGCAGCCTATCAGAATAGACAGTGACGTCATAAATGAGGTCGGTATATATTCAGATTCATCACTATGTAGTATGTTCATGAATAAATGGTTTATAGAACTCTGATCAAATTATTCTTAGGTAGTACAATTTGTAACACGGAGACTGGAACAACTTTTGGTAAGTATCTTCTTGACCTGTCATGACAATAGAGTTGCACATAAGGCTGTTCTTCTCCAAGATTCTTGTACTTTATCCTCTTACGATGTACTGAGGATAGACATATAAACATTGTTATAAAACCTGTATGTGAGTAAAATTCCATGTCTTTTTTAACTGACTCGGTGTTTCCTCATTTTGTATCAGGTGGATGAAGGAATTAACTATGAAATAGTCCGGTCAGTGCTTATGGAGCGTGCAAACTGCCCTTATCTAGCATCACAAACGGCAGCTGAAGTAAGAAATCATATAGTGCTAAACTTAAGATCATTTTTTTTAATGCTCCGTGGATTAGAAGCTACATTAATTTCAAATACTGTATTCGTAACCTGGAACTCCATATTATGCGGTGTAAAATATCTGCGTCTGGAATTTATTGAAGCATCGTGAGTTTTTGGGTGATGGTTTTGCTATGTGGACACTTGCAGATGGAAGCTTTTTCAAGAACTGAAGATTTTCCAAAAATTGTCGAGGCGTATTCAAGGCCAGTTCGAATTATACGTGGGAAGCAAATTGAGTCTGCTTGGGAGGTATGAGCTGCTTTTACGTAGACACCTACGAACGCAATTCTTTAACATACTCAAAGTGCGGCTTGAGTCATGAACTAAGCTTGCTGATGCTATGCAGGTTGATGCAAGCGCATTCGAGAAAGAAGAAGAAAAGGCCTTGTGGAGCGCCTACTTGGAGGCTGCCGATAAGATCCATCCTGGTACACAACTCTACTATTCTTATTTCTCAAAGCGACAGGTTTCAGATCTGCAGTTCACTGCCATTGCAGGAGTTGACGTCAAAACCTTCGCCGAGGCCTCCCTGCTTCTGATACAACCCCTGGAGGATTTCTTCAACAATGTTTTTGTCATGGCGGTGAGCACAAATCTATGTGTTTTAAGATGTAGCACGATTCATTTCATTCTACCACTTGACAGTGTATGTATGCACATATCTATAACTTTGCTAATCACACTTGTATGGTGATGGCCCATGGGACAGGAAGACGAGAGGATCCGCAACAATCGGCTGGCGCTGCTGCAAAAGGTTGCGAGTTTGACCAAGGGGATCGCTGACCTCTCGGTTTTACCAGGGTTTTAGTTAGCCTTGGAGTGAGCAGGCGGTCGAGTTAGAGGATACGTCCCATTTTTGAGCTAGTGCCTCAAGTTGGAGCCATTTTTTTTACATTTGTTACCGGTCATTCATCTGGGGGGAAATCACTGGGTGAAGAATGAGAATGTAAAAACAAGTCCGTTCATAGCTGTTGGTTCAATTCCCAGGTTTTTCTGTATTAGTATGTTGTTTATGCTACTACCTCTGTCCCTAAATATAAGTCTTTTTAGAGATTCCACTACAGACTACATATGGAGTAAAATGAATCTACACTTTAAAACATGTCTATATATATATATATATATATATATATATATATATATATATATATATATATATATATATATATATCCGTATATAGTCCTTTATTGGAATCTCTAAAAAGACTTATATTTAGGAACGGAGGGAGTAGTTGATTAAATGCATTTTCTTCTTCTGTGCTGTGTTGCTGATAATTATTTGGGATCCAATTTGATTGGAGGATGGGTACCCAGGAAAAACCTATATGGCATTCATTTAGATCTTACCAGTTTCAAGCAGATCGGGCGGGTGCTCCCTGATATTGATATTTGTTTGTTGGTGTATAGTTTTTCTTTTAAGAAGATTGAAACATTTGCAGCTGGACTTCCTTCTGTGTTTGTTCCTTATCATTTTGGTCAATCTTTTGGTAAAAGATACTACTCGGTTAGCTTTTGCCGGGCTGTTGTAGTATATAATCCGGGTTAGTAGCGTACGCAATTGTTTTAGTAAGGGCCTTCCCGTTACAATGGAAGAAGAGAAATCCTAAGGGCAGCTATGTAGAGTATGTATTAAAATGAAATGTTGCTTCCTTCTTCTGGCAACAATAACTGTGATTTGACTTGCTTTTACCCGTGTATATAAAGCAACGATCATACAAACCGATACATACAACTCAAGACCACACCACACGCACCCAAGACTAAATACAACGGTGTAGAAGAACGTCTACACCACTCCTAGCACCCAAGGCTAGATACAACGGTGTAGAAGAACGTCTACACCACTCCTAGCAACGGAAGTCGCACTAGAAAGTTGGAGCCCTCCGCCAGGACCAAATATCATGAAGAGGTGAAGCCGTGCCCGATGAACCGAGGACTCCAAGATGGTAACTTCAAGAAGGGGAACAACACCGGAGTGTCGCCGTCGCCCGATCCAAACAATCAAGATCTTCACCTGGAGCCACCCCGATGGGCGGAGAGAACCCACAACGACGCCTTCAACAAGGGAACAACGCCCGTGGACGCCGCCGCCGTCGGCTTGGCCAAAGCTAGGCTAGGAATGAACATTGGCAAGAAATCCCCGCCTCTAGAATGTGGTGCGACCAGCAGAGAGGAACCCGCCGCAGCACCGACACCAAACGCCGGCCACCGGCCACCACGCGACCCTCACGACCATGGCAACCCGTCCGCACCTAAGCCGCTAGCTCCGCCCGCGAGACTCACAGCTCCCACCACCGGGGCCGCCGTCTCGGCATCTAAGACCACCCCACATCCGCTCCCACGACACATGGACACCATCGACTAGTAAGGGGCAAAAGGAGGATCCTTTCATCCCCAAACCACGCCCGTTGGTAGGAGGGATCACCCAGCCGACCAGAATCAGGAAGGGGAAGATAAACGACATCTGTCGGCCTGCCGCAGCCACCACACCGCACCACCAGGGACCGGGCCACCGTCACGACCTATCTGGCTCCTTTAGATATCGGTGACGGCAAGCCGGGAGCCCCCCCTGCCTCCCTCCCCGGTTCACCCCTGCCACCATTGGCCGACCGATGACGCACACCCGCGTTGGCCACTGACACCAGCGAGTGGAAGCAGCCACCGGCCGAAGCTCCAGAACCCGAGCAGAGGAAGCAGAGGGCCAGCACCACCATCCCCCACCAGCGGACCGCTATGGCAGGGGGCAACCGCCCGCTACCCAGGTCAACCGCGACCAACACCGCGTCGAGGACAGATCTGAGCGCCACCTCCAAAGATGTAGACGTCGTCCCCGTCCAAGCCACGTGCACCACCACCACGGCATCTGTCGCACAGCCGTGACCCGCTGCTGCACCCGAACGCTGGTGAGCTGCCGTGCGGCAATGCCGGCCACCCAACACCCCTCCTTACATCAGCAGCCTCGCCCCGCTCCATGGCCACCACGCGAAGGGACAAACAGATCCATGTAGCCGCCGGCGCTAACCGGTCTTCGCCCGGCCACGCCCTGAGGCGGCGGCGAGGGAGGGGGGAGGAGGAGGGGGCCTCTAGCGGAGGTGGCGGCTAGGGTCCCCCCTCGGTCGCATGCTTACTATATATACAATATAATCTATGCTTGAGCGTTAGCCAGCTATAGATAATCTCTCCTTTCGATTATAAAAAAACAAAAACTGTTACATTTATTATTACATAATAACAAGAGAGTTTTGGTAACAATTAAGTGCATGATAAAACCTACTCTACTAATAGATGAGTAGCATATTGTTGGCTCCCTTCAAAGGGATTGCTACTAAATTACTCCCTCTGTTTCCAAATACTTGTCTTTCTAGGCATTTCAAATGGACTCAACATGCGGATGTATGTAGACATATTTTAAAGTGTAGATTCACTCATTTTGCATCGTATGTAGTCACTTATTGAAATATTTAGAAAGACAAGTATTTAGGAACGGAGGGAGTACATGACAATACCGGGCCCTTCATAATGTTGCACTGCCATACAGATACAAATGCCTTCGAAGGGCCAAATCAACTTGGAAGCCTTTGTTGCATATGACAATGGAAATTAAGCAACAGCTAGCATCAGGTGGAGAGAGGCTGAAGAAGAAGAGCCATGCGTAGATATATAGTTGAAGATGGTTGCAGATAGATTTGAGGCAGCCATTAATTACGACGATGAAATAACCAACCTGCAAATTAGGACGACTGTACAAGTAAGTGCATTAGTTAGCTACTAAAGTGGTGGTGGTAATAATAAATAAAACAAGGAACGAGCCAAGAGTATGTATTACCTCAGCAATAAATACTCGTCAAGAAACCCAATCACGCTTCTTCCTGGATCTCCTCCTCCTGCCCCTGGATCTCGCCAGTCGTCCCACTGCTGGAAGCCTCGATCGCTGGAAAAGTCTCTTCCTCCTCCTCGTGGATCTCGCCCCTCCCACTATTTGGAGTGCTGTCGATCTTGCTTGTCCCACTGCTGGAAGCCTGTGCGCTCTCCTCAATCGCTGGAAATTCCACATTCCCGCGGCCAGTGACACAAAAGTAGATCCTGTTGGCATGCTCCTGGGCTTCTTTCCTCACCACGTCAATCATGGCGCTCATGCATGGGCTGCTCTCTGCTGCTCCTCCATACCATTCCTCGTTGCAGCTAAAGGAGACAAACGAGAGGCTACTGAGGTGCTTGATACCCAGCTGGGGTTCTTTATTTGCAGGTGGAGGCGGGCCACCGTAGAACTGGAACTGGAACTCAAGCCATTCCAGCCTCGGCATCGCTCCTTCCTGGAAGGTAATAGCCCGTGGCATGCGGCTGTTAACAACGAGTTGGCTGAGGCATGGGAACCCTCCACCACTGATGGCTATGGGATCTCTCGGGACGACCTCCAGCCTTAGTGTGAGGTGACGCAGGCAAGGCATCTCCCGCAGAATCTTGACATCCCGCTCCTCCAGTTTGCACATCCTGATATCCAATGAACCAAGGTCGTTCAAGTGATCCTTGATCCACCCTGGAATCTGCATGTGTTTTGTGCCAACGATTAGGCCCCCACTATCAGTGCTCCAACGGACCAGTCGAACGGACAGGATCTCCCCGGCTAACTCGGACACAAGATCACTCGTCTTCCAGGCTTGGCGGACGCACGCTGGCACTCCCTCCAATTTCGAGAGCTGACTAGCTTCCCAAGGCAGTGCACCGATGGTATAGTCTAACTGCAAAATCTCCAGCTTCTTCAGCTCCCCTATTTCCCTTGGTATCTTCGCCACCCTTGTACCATTCAAGAGCAGCCACTTCAAATTCTGCAGTTTCCCCATCTCACGAGGCAGCTGTGTGAGCCCCCGGTTTTGACTCAGGTCCAAGGTCTCTAAATGCTGCAGGTCCCCAATTTCATTGCCTAGCCTTGTGATGCTTGCCGCACACACCTCCAGTGCTTTCAAATGCTGCAACTTCCGAATCTCCGGAGGCAGCTCTTTGAGCTTGGTGTGATGCAGGTTCAGATTCTCCAAATTCTGGAGGTTCCCGATCTCATGTGGCAGCTCCGTCAGCCTCACCCAGCTCAGGTCCAGAGTCTCTAACACTATTTTAAATAGCCCGCTATAACTCCGCTATAGCACGCTATAGCGTTTATAAAAGGTCTTGCGCTAAGAGAATTTGTTCCAAACAAATGAACAAACATTTTAAATAGCGCGCTATAGCTCCGCTATAGCACGCTATAGCATTTGGAAGAGGTCGGACGCTAAGATGCTTAGCGCGCTATTTAAAACTATGGTCTCTAATTGTTGCAGATCCCCTATCTCCCTGGGCAGCTTTCTCAGCTTAGCGTTGCGACTCACGGCCAGAGTCTTCAATTGCTGTAGGTCCCTAATCTCACTGGGTAACTCTGTGATCGATGTGAATCTTACCTCCAAAGTCTCCAGATGTTGTAGCCTTGCTATTTCCAGTGGTATCTCACTGATTCCTCTTCCTTCTAGACCGAATAGGTGCCTCACACGGAGCAGTCCACCACATATATCCTTCACATGTTGATTTCCAAGGGCCTCGAATTCGAGAATAGACATCCAAGGAGACTTTACGAATTCAAGATAATCATGGTGATATTGAAGATCCAACACTCGCACACGTTCCAACGTCTCAAAAGGGACATATCTCTTAGCACCTTCAAAAACAACAAGAGATCGAATCTGGGACCAATCCAGTTCCAGCAAGGTATCCACCACCTCCGCCGCACCGCCATCAACTGGATAATCGTCGATACATAGCCGATGGATTCGACATGCATATGCCAATGTGATGTCGGAACTACAAGTAATGAAATTATCTTCACGGGATTTCCATCTAAGGAAATTTCGCATCATTGGATTCATTCGGTAGGCCTCGTCATGGGTCCGCAACATGAACCCCCTGTTGTCAAGCTCTTTGAGGTAATCTTTTGCTACATCCTCTTTATAAGTAAATCCTTCAGCGACCCATCTCATGACCAAATCATTCACGTTAAAAGGGTGATTCTCAGGGTATACACTGGAGTACAACAAGCAGGTCTTCAACATATGGCGAGGAAGATCGGTGTAGCCAAGCTGGAAACTCTCTACCAATGGTTCAAACCCTGGAGTGTTCTGAATTCCACTTTGCTTAACTTGCTTCTCAATCATATCTTGCACATCACTTGCATTTACATGTACCCCTAGTTGTTCTTGTTGCTCTCGGATCAGTGCCATTGCTGAAAGCATGCAAAGTAGTGCTAACGGAACACCACCACACATGCGCACAATAGGATGGTCACAGTCAAAACCTTCCTCAACCGTGTCAGGCTTCATCCGAGTGGCAACATCTTCCATATAAGAGGAGGCATCTTGCATATAAGATCTGTAGAGCCATCTTCCCATGTCAAGCATACCACCATCAGGTTCGTAGAACCAACTTGCCATCGTATTCATATAAGATCTCCTCCATGAAGGGTTCATTCTGATGCAAAGCTTGTTATTATCAGATTCATCTCCTGGTAGAGAATGAATACGAGTTGTCATGACAATCCTACTGCCCAGATTATTTTGTGGGAAAGACTTGCTGACGATGTCCCATTCTCCACGATGCCATATATCATCAATTATTACTAGGTACCTAGGCAAGTTGGTTACGCAAGAATAAGATAGTTAGAAATTCATGCCTGTGTCATCTGCAAAAAAAATAAAAAAATAAAATCACATCCTTACTGAAAGAGTATTCTTTCTGGGTTTGTTTAGGGCACATCTAAATGTGCCATAGTTATTGCACATCTAAGTGACACAATCAAATATGGAAAGAAAAGGCAAAATTAAAAAGAAATTTCCACCCGAATTTTCACATAGAATCAATGACATAGGACTTAGATGTGCAATACTTATGGCACATCTAGATGTGCTTTAGCAAAATTGGTTCTTTTTTTGATGAAAGCATCCTTACTGAGTAGTAATCCACATTCTACACCGTATATATTATGGTTGTGGCCAATCAACTGACTGACCGCATAAGCGACTTTGCTTATCGATCGCCACAGATTACGCTGGAACCATAGCCCTTCTTTGTAGCACGGAGTACCAGTTGTTGATTGAGGCTTGACCAGCACTAACGTGCATTGTACATGTACTAGTATACGAGTTGGACTCATGGTCTCTTTCCAAGTAGGAGTACATGTAATGTTTTTTCCTTAGGGGTATGCCAACTAGGCCTGTAGCCCTCGTGTGGACCCATGGGCATGCATGTATGGTATACATAGCACAAGGATAATGTAGCATGACTACCATCATGATATAGTATTGATTTCGTTTATACGGATGGTCCCTCCCAATGTAAAAACTATTTTTTTTTACTTGTACAAATACTAAATTTATATTGAGTATTATAAAACCGGAAGGAGTGACATTTAATATTACCTTCTTTTGATAATCTTACATACAAATATATTATGACAATCTGATTTAGAGCATCATTAGTTTTCTACTATAGTGGGGTGATCCTTTTACCTAATAGAGAGTTGTAAACTACCCGAGACAATATCGTTATAATTTTAACCCAAAATATCTAAGGATTTAGAACTACTTGCGGTTGAATTGTTATATCTGGTTGACTAGACTACATGGTTATGGTATGGTCTGTCGATAATTTAGTTCTGTTCTGTGATCAACGCCAATTTTTTTTTGAATGAATGGGATCAAACTTGGAGTTCGTGACAATCCATTTGACGTCATTTTTTTTCAAGTGTATTGGGTATGTTTAGTTTAGTTGTTATATCTGGAGCAAGTAGTCTTTTGCGCAAAGGCCATATATATTAAGAAGACCAAATCTGTACGAAGACACACTTATAGAAATTTTAAAAAATAAATCCAGATACTTTGCGGTGCCAAAGCCTTCTTTTTGCATCCACTGGTGGCACACCTTGAGCAATGCTCGTTGTTGCCTCTGAAGGAAATATGCCCTAGAGGCAATTTATTTTCAGAATCTATAAATCCAAACATGCTAGGTTTTTGCAAATCACCCCGAACGCTCCAACTAGCATACGATATCTTAGCACGTATCATGGAACAAATCAAGTGCCACGTCTTTTTTGAGAGTCGTTCGGTGCGACATGCGACCGAAAGGTGCGCGCACATCTCCTCCTTATCCTCTTCTGTCCCCACCGCGCCCTCACTCTCTCCAGCTCCAATTCCACCGTCATCCAGCTCCCGTTTCCACCGCCGCCAAGCGGTGCAGCTCCACACCTCGCGTCGTGCGGAACTCACCATCCCTGGTGATGCGCCCAGCACGGTCCCTAGCGATGCGCCCTGCATGGTCCCCGGCAACGCGCCCTGTATGGACTCCCAGTGATGTGACTCCTCCACTCGGTCGTCACGGCCACCTCCATCTATGCGTCAAGGGCAGAGGAGGAGCTCCACGTGCTCTCCCGCGCTCCCCTGTGCAGTTCTCTGGTCCTCCTCCGTTGTTCACCAGCACCGCGATGGCGGCCGCTCCTTCTCCAGGGTCGCGAGCGCGGCGGTGAGGGAAAGATCCCATCGAGCTCGTCAGGGGTCGCACCTTCTCCACCTTTACACCTTGGCACTCCATGGACGCCAAGTTGATGCGCGGCAAGGACGGTGAGATCCCATCGAGTTTTTCGGGGGAGAGGTCGTCCACCATGTCCCCCTCACAAGGTCGATCCATCTGTGTCTTTTTTCCCCAAGTTGTTGGTTTTCGAGCTAGCTCCCACTATAACATTGCATTTTTGGGACAATTTTGTGTAGAAACATGGAAAATATAGTCTTCTTTTTTGCCACCCTAATTTGCATTCTGTAAATTGCCATGGCAATATAGTATTCTCTTATGCCACGGTGGGCACTTTCACACATTTTTTGGTCATGTTATATAGTGATGATTTTGTTGCTATGATGTGAATTTTCACCCAAGTTAACAATCTCCAAAATTAACATGGCAATTTAGCTCGTTTATTTTGCCATGAGCATGGCAAATGTTTCTTCTTCTTTCTATGTTAGCATGGCAAGTCTAGTCCATACATCATGGCAAACTTAGTGCATGGACCATGGTAATATAGTCTTCTATTTTGCCATGGGCACTTTCACACATTTTTTGGGCATGTTATATAGTGATGATTTTGTTGTTGTGATGGCAATTGTCACTCAAGTTCACAATCTCCAAAATTTCCATGGCAATTTAGCTCGTATTTTCTGCCATGAGCATGGATTTTTTTTTCTTTTTCTTTTGCAACATGGCAAAATTTCCTTTCTATGTAACCATGTAAAGTCTAGTCCATACATCATGGCAAACGTAGTGCATGGACCATGACAATCTTATGTCATGGTTTATGGCAGAATACATTTTTATTGATCATGTCTTTTTTCGTATCATGGCAATACTTACTTTTCTTGCCATGGTAACTTTACCATGTCTCTTTGTTTGAGTTACCATGTCTTTGTTTCCACATCATGACAAAAATAACTAAAATGGTACTTACATTTTTATAGGACCCCCCCCCCCACCCCATATGCCTTATGCCACATTGCAATATATTATTTAGATAGAACAAAATATCAAGTTCTAGATTTTTGTTTTGTAATAGTTATATGCGTAATGTACGCAGATTTAGTTCATTCACCATATCAATTCCATCTTTAATACAATGGCTAATTTAATTCATGGCCCATGGCAAACTCTTTTTCCCATGTCTTGGCATTACTACTTCATGGGCCATGGCAATTTTACTAAAGGGGGATTTTTTTATGTTTTTTCTAACATGGCAAACTTATTTTTATGGACATGGAAAACTTAATTTATTGACCATGGCAAATTTAATTCAAATACCATGGAGAATTTGCTTTTTTCGTATCATGGCAAAATTTACTTCTTTATTGTCATGGCGATTTTACCATGTCTTTTTTGTTTCAATTACCATGTCTTTTTTCGTATCATGTCCAATTGTTTTACTTTCTAATTCCATGGCAAATTTCAGTTTCATCTTTTTATGGGAATTTTTGCTTATTCATGGGAACATGGTACATTTTACCTAAATGGCCATGGTAATTTTGAACTTTTATTGCTATCGCAATTTTTACTCTTCATTTGCCATGGCTAATTTACATTTATTTCCATGGCTAAATTACCTGTATCGACATGGAAAATATTTAACGATTATTGCCATGGCAATTTTTACATTTTATTTTCCATGGAACTTTCACATTTATTTGCCATGGCAAAATAACCAATATTGCCATGACAAATTTACCTTTACATACATGTCCATTATACTTTGATATTTTCATGGCAATTTCTTCCATTTTTTGTCATGGCAATTTAACTTTTCATGGTCCATGTCCATTTTTTTACTTTTGGCAAATTTCACTTTCATATTTTTTTTCATGAGATTTTTAGTCCACGTGTTTGTCACTGCGTACAATGCAAATTGCCATGACTTTTCACTTTTCGTGCCATTGCATAAACAAAGATCTTTTTGTCCATGCAAAATTTGTTTGGTAAAGACGAATGACAATTTTTGGTTTGCATAACTGGGATTTTTAGTTCTCAATTTTTTCCCTTTTAATGACACTTTTCTCATAGCATGCCAAAAATCTGGCTTTCTT